TAAGTTGTATGACTTAAGTAAGATAAATGTTTTTTGTGCTTTGGCTTTGTTATTAAGCCCTTTAACATTCAGTGTAGCGATTTTGATCATGAGTATAAAGTTTGTATTTATAGCTACACTAAGTGTGTTAGTTCTTAGTAGGGGTGACCTAGCTTGGAGCTGCCTCGCTGAAGGAACTCCTTGCTTTTGCTTGGACCAGTCGTTCTGTCCTGATCCTTCTTTTTGCTCTTATTTCTTTTATTTTTAGAAGTAACTAGTGTAAATTCTGCTTCATCTGACTCTAAAGATGTATTCATAGGAATTGGATTGGAGGTTAAGTCAGCATTTGCCTTGCTCTCAGTTGAGTCAAAGGATTGGTTTTTGGTTGAAGATTCAACATGCATGTCAGTTGGGAAAGTTGCAGTATTGTTAAAGTTTTGAGACAAGTTGTCTAGGGTTACATGTTCATTACAGGTTTGGGATTGTGGTAAATTTAATTCCTCTATAGGTCTTTCTATTTGAGCCCATTCTGCTGAGTTATCAATATATGGGTTATCTGCATGGAATTCCAGTTCTGGTGCTGCAAGTTTTTGTTCTTTGGCCTTTTCTCTTTGCTCTTTAGCTTCTTTAAGAAGACGTCTTGTTTCTATTGAGATTTTGAGTTCTTCGCAATCTCTTTTAATATGACCTTCTTTGTCACAATAATAGCAGACCTTAGGGGCTTCTTTCCATTCAGTGGTAACTTTGTGATAATTAATATGTGTATTCCTTGGGATTCTTTTAGCTACATCTGGATCATCTGTGATTTCAAATGTGATTAACCATTGATCTGAGCAGATATTGGTCCCTTCGAAGAGGAGAGATTTGACTGATGCAATTTGCCCTACATCTTGAAAGGCTTCTATAATTTGGTTACTGATGTGCTTAGATTCACATAAAGGCATGTTTCTCAGTTTTACTGTAAGAAAGGTACAGTTAAGGTTTATTGAAATGTATCCAAAAAGTGACTGTTTGAAAAGTGTAATTCCTTCTGCAGCATAAAGCTGGACTTTTTTGTTGTTTTTGAAAACTACTTCCAGAAAAGCTCTTTTTCCTCTGAACATATGTATTTTGGCTGCTAGAAAGTTTTCTCTGATACTTGAGGCTAATGCTGTAATGATATCATTAGTTGTGATGTTGTTAAGACTTTGTATATCTAAGATTAGAGCATTGTTGTTTTTGAAACGAATTCTTTGTCTAGGGGTGGAGTTTGTGTAGATTGCTTTTCCTCCTTTAAGCTTTGCAAAAAGGTCTGACCATTGTTTAGATTTGGCATTTTTTGTAGTAGTAGCTTCTGTGTTGTTAACTTTCTTATTGTAGGTTGTTGCCACGTTGTTTGTGACACTTTGCTGAGGTTGGACAGTGTTTTCATCATCTTGTGTGTGTTCTGATGTGTTGCTACCAGACACGTGTCTTAGATTATCATCAGAAGGCATGTGACTCCATTGTTGTTTGTTGTTTACTTGAAGTAGGTTTGTTGACTTTTTGGCACTATTACGTGCTTTGTTTTGGTTTAGAAAGCTGATGTTTTCTTTATTTGTTTCAAGAAACTTATTTTCTTCTACTTTGCTGGCCCAGCAAGCTGTGCTTTCTATTGCATAGTTAACTGTTAGGTTGTTGGTTTCTTGAATAAAGTTGTTGCTGTTTTTTCTTGCTTTGGGGGTTTCTTTCTTGCTGTTTTCAGTTTTTGTAAAGTTAAAGGTTTTTTCTGCTGTTGTGTCAAGCCTAAGCTTTTTGTATTGAGCCTTGTTCATGTTTAAAGACATTGTTTTGCATTTCTTTGGGATAAGGGCCCTTGCCCCATAAGAGTTCTGAA